CCTTTGGCAGTTGATAAACAAAGCATTACATCAGCTAGATGTCATCCTGAGGTACTTCCCTCATCTGATAGCCCAAAATGCCACCATCCCAATATACTTCAGTTGCCTTTTATAATATCTCTGGGTCAACCCTGAGGGTTGTATACCTTGTGAGCACTGAAATAATTTTTTAGACAGAAGAGGAGTCTTTTTATCTGCTAGATTCTTTTCAACTGAGGTTAAAAATCCCATGTTACAAATCTGTGTGTGCAATGAAAAGTGTTTCATCATGAAGACCCTCAGGTAGCCCTGTGGAGAAGCCCATGTGGTGAGGAACTACGATCTTTGTCAATAGCCACTGAGGAACTGAGGCCTCCTGCTCAAAGCTAGATGATGCCCAAAGCCATCGTGGAAGTAGACCCTCTAAAAGCCCTAGTCCACCATTGAAATGACTAGCCACAACCAACATCTGAGAGCCATCTCCAGAACATGGGGGAGACACTGCCCAGAAGGACAATTTTAATTTTTTTTTATTCTCACCAGAGGACATTTTTGCATTTATTTTCAGATAGAGTGGAAGGGAGAAAGAGAGAGAGAGAAATATCAATGTGAGAGAAACACATCGAGTGGCTGCCACCCACACGACCCCATCTGGCAAGGGACGAACCACAAACAAGGTATGTGCCCTTAGCGGGAACCGAACCCGGGACTCTCTGTTGCACAGGCCGATGCTCTAACCACTTAGCAAAACTGGCCAGAGCCAGAAAGTCAACTTTAAGAATTGGCTGTCCACCTCTGGAAATCCACTGAGCAAGTTAAGCTTTTTAACCATAAACCTTGAAGGTTTGATGGGCAGGGGAGGTGTCTGTATTTGTTCTCTTGGTTATAAAATCCACCTGATGCTGTTCCATATAATCCAAAGGAATGATTAATAAATGGCATTGTCACAATTAGTCTCCACCTTGAAGAAAATGAAGTTAAATGTCAACCATATGTCATTTACAAAAATAAATTAGTAATATTAGAGATTTTAATATATTTAAAAAACCATGAAGGTGTCCTTTTGACTAAGGTTAGGATGGGTAAGATCTTTTGAAAACTAGCTATTTTGTAAATAGATGCAATCAGGAGTGGAATATATTCAGCCAATATCTTATTTTCCTTTTATCAGCATAGGGAGATAATGTTTACTCTGATGCCTATAGTGGTATTTCCAGGGAGACAAAAAACCTCAATCCGGCTGAAACATGGTCTCATCCTCCTTGCTTTGGGAAAGGGCTGAGGCTTGAGAATGCAGAGCTGGAGGAGAAAGAAGCCGTGAGATGGGGGTTGGAGTTGTTGGTTGTTTGCCTGTGCTCTCAGGATTGTTTGCCCTTTTACACTGGTTTCTTTTTACCTGGTACAATTCCTCATCCACCTAACTTTTTCTCCCTCCACATCCTATTTAGATACCTCCCCATCCCACACTATTCATTAACTCTCACCTCTTTCCCCATATCTTAAGGTCAAAGTCTTTATGGTCTCCAAAGTTTTCTGAGCAGTAGCAATTTTATTTATTCTCTGATCTTCGTAAGCCAGAAAAGCAGAAGATCCAGGCCTTCTTCATTCTTGAGATGCTCCATGCTCTGACAAAGACCACTGGGTACACTGGGTACCTGAGGTCACAAGTACTTGCCTCTGCCTGCACTCTCTATAGCATGGTTGGTTCCCATGCTCCAGGGACCTGTGGGCTTAAGAGGGAAGTTGACTTTATCCAAGTTCTTTCTTCTGGGCCCCTTTCTTTCTTCACACCCTCTGGATACCATTCATTCAGGGGACATTTACTGAGCAGCTATAGGCACTATCTCTGTTTTGAAGGAAATCATAGTCCAGACAGCCAAGAATGTTGTTGCAGATGGCTAAGGACAGTCAGGGAACTATCTGCAGAGAAGACTCATAGTGAGACACAGGGCTTTACAGAAGTGTGTGGAGACCCCACAAACATATGGGTCATGTGCCCCGTGAAGGAAAACCCAGAGTTTTAATAATGTGAAAGCTTTAATAATGCAATACTGTGGGGGCCGCAAAAATAAAAAATAAACCACATCCCTACCCTAAAGCAATCTAAAAATCATAATACAGGGTGGCAAATGTTTCCTAAATCTGAATTTATAACATTTTTTGTTCCAGGCCTCCATTGGCAGTCTGATAATACTTATAGACTCCCACTCAAAATAATGTTTCAAATGCATAAAGCACACAGGATTATTTCAAAAGCTAATTACACTGAAATATAACCTTCAAAACTATTAAAACACCAATATGTGTTTATTTTTATTATTATTATTATTATTTTATCCTCACCCGAGGTCATTTTTTGATATTTTGTTCAGATAGCCCTGGCCAGTTTGGCTCAGTGATTAGAGTGTCAGCCTGTGGTCCAGAGAGACCCAGGTTCGGTTCCCGCTAAGGGCATGTATTTTGGTTGCAGTTTGTCCCCGGCCCTGGTTGGGTTGTGCGGGTGGCAGCCACTGGATGTGTCCCTTTCATGTCAATGTTTCTCTCTCTCTCTCTTCCTCCCACTCTATCTGAATAAAAAATGGAAAAATGTCCTCGGGTTAGGATAAAAAAAAAAAAAGATATTTTGTTCAGATAGAGTGGGAGGGAGAAAGAGAGAAACATCGACGTGAAAGGGACACATCGAGTGGTTGCTGCCCACACGACCCAACCAGGGCCAGGGACAAACTGAAACCAAGGTACTTGCCCTTAGCAGGAACCGAACCCAGGTCTCTCCAGATGGCAGGCCAACGCTCTAACCGCTGAGCAAAACCAGCCAGGGCTGTGCTTCTTTATTAACACATTAAATACCAAGAATGATCAGGGCCAGGGATTGAACTGCAACCCAGGTGCGTGTCCTTGACTGGGAATTGAACCAGAGACCCTTTGGTCTGCAGGCCAATGTGCTAACTGTTGAGCCAAACCACCCAGGCTGATTCCCTTTTTTAACCCTAAATTTTAGGTTCAGAGTTTAATTACATATTTTTGGTATGTTGTCACTTTAACTTCTTTTCATTTCTGGTTGATCATTTTTTAATTAAAACACTACCTTTCCAAAAAAATAATTATTGGGTAAATGATAGATAGTAATGTTTTTGTTTATTTATTGACTCTATCTTAGTCAAAACACTTGGCAGCCACAAATCACCACCTAGGAACTGATATAACACACAGATGACTCACATAGTCAACCTGGCCAGGAAAACACACACACACACTCAAAAACATACTTCAAATTTTTTTTGCCATTTTATCAACTTCACATTTTCAATGAAATATTTTTAACATTTACTCAAGACATTACTCTGTAATAAATCAGTTCCCAAACTTGAAATCTTAAGAGCCGTCCTTCTTAGGCCATCTGGCTTTACACATACCTGTGCAATCATAGCTCCTTGCCTTCAAAGTAAGATTCAACATGCCCAGGGAAAATAACTCCCTTGTACCCAACATTGGCATTAGTTTTATCTATAACTGAGGGGGAGCTAATCAGGTCCTATTACTAACTTAAGTGTTTCCAAATTTTATATCCTCCCCAAAAGGCAGTGCATGGAGAACTCCTGCTGTTCCTCTATCTGTACAGTCATGAACTACCTGAAGATTCTCTTGGGATGGGGAGCCAGTTTTCCAGCCATTAACACGTGTTCTCCCAGAATTTCAGTCACCACCAGGTGTGCTGCACTCTCTGGCGTAATCTCCAGAGATGGCTCCACTTAGGGTCATGTCATAGGGACATAATTTTACTAGGAAACTCCTAATCAGATGTCATTTTAGCCTTTACTTGTCCAGGGAATTTACCTTTATTCTCTTGTCTCTCAGTTCAACTCTCAGATTATTTTTTATTAACTGGAATCAGAGTTTCCAGATCCATAGTCCACAGGATTAGAATTCATGATTTAGGGGAAAGGCCAGAAAGACATGTGAACCAAATCTAAAAAATAAATAAATAAATAAATGAGACTACTACTCTTACCTCACTAAAAGCTTTCCAGCAAGTTTAATTTAGGTGATGAGCATCTAGCCAGGGCAGTGCCTTCCACTCAGAAGAGTCTCACATTAAGGAACATATTTCTGAGAAAAAACATAATCTACATGAAGGGAGGGAGAAAAAAACCCTTCAAAATAGAGCTCCTTTACACTGCATTGGAAAAAAAAAAAAGCCCACTTGCACCCTTACACTGCCTATGCATCTCAGTCCCTCACATAAAATCCTTTCTGACCTAAATTTCCAGTTCCACCTGCCCATGGAAATATTTTTGTTCGTTTCTTGCATTCTCTGTTTGTTTTGTTGGTCAATCTTCTTCCAAGAATATATTTTTCCACTGATTTTTAGATAGAATAAAAGGCAGGGAAAGAGAGAGAGTAACATTGATATGAGAGAGATGACACATCAATTGGTTGCCTCCTGCACAATCCCAACTGGAGCCGGGAATTGAACCTGCAACCCAGGTATGTGCCCTTGACCAGAAATTGAACCCATAACCTTTTAAGTCTGTAGGATGATGCTCTAACCACTGAGCGACTGGTCAGAATGGAAATATTTTATTTTCAATGAGGAATATTCCTGGAGACTCTAAGTCCTACCTAAATACCTACTCATACTAATCCAAATGAAAATTTTAGAATCCTGAGGAATCTCTGTTATCTGGCTGTGCAGTCATTCCTAAATGGTGAAAGGAAATTGAAATCAATCTTTCTTTCTTGCTTTTGATTAATTTTTACTCATATCATTTATTATATCAAAACAATATACATCCAAGAAAAAAAGACCAGGCATAAATCTAAAAATCAAATAGATACACCTAGAATCCCTTTTAATTCTGATCTATACACAATTACAAGGGTTCTAGAAATAAACATTCTCTATTCTTGTCCTGCATTTATAACTTTGCATCATAGCCATTTTCCTAATTTTTAGAAAATCTTCATATGTAAGAGAAAGTGCTGTATGAAAGAGAATATAAAATAGTGAGGAAACCATGTTGTAAAAACTAAAATACTGTTTTCCAGCCTATTTTTTAATTAACTACAGCAATTTTTTAACCTTCTCCATACCACCACTGGTATTAGCATTCTTATTCACTGTTTACTGGAAAGGAGGTATACCTCACTGGCAATGACTCTACAGCATATTGTCCATTTCATGGTAATTCTCTCTGAGTGCTTTCTGCAAGGAAAAGTGCCAATGTTTATTACTTTTGTTTGGGATGTGTCATAAAGACTGTTTGATTTGCATATGGAGCTGTTAAATAAAATGTGTGATCCATAGTCCTTCCCTTTCTTCTCCAGGACACATTTACAGATACACAATAACAAAGGGCTAACTGAAAGCCTTCCTACCTACATTGTTTTCATACTTGTTATTCCCAATATATGTGCTTCCTTGGAAGAGAGGGAAGGAGGGACAGAGGAAGAGATATATTCTGGCTAAAAAATTTCCAAACTAATTACATTCATAGGGTTTCTCTTCAGTATGAGTTGCCTGATGCCTAATAAGTTTAGAGCTGTTAATGAAAGCTTTACCACATTGATTACATGTAAAAGGTTTCTCTCCAGTATGTGTCCTTTGATGTACAATAAGTCGAGCACTCAAGCTGAATGTTTTTCCACATTGATTACATTCATAGGGTTTCTCCCCAGTATGAGTTCTCTGATGTTGAGTAAGGCATGAACTCTGCCTAAAGGATTTCCCACACTGATTGCATTCATAGGGCTTTTCTCCAGTATGAGTTCTCTGATGTACAACAAGAACATAACTCTGACTGAAGGACTTCCCACACTGATTACATTCATAGGGCTTTTCTCCTGTGTGAGTCCTCTGATGCATTACAAGATGAGAACTGCGGTTGAAAGATTTTCCACACTCGTTGCATTCATAGGGTTTCTCTCCAGTATGAGTCCTTTGATGTGCAACAAGCTGAGAACTCCAGCTAAAGGATTTTCCACACTGATTACATTCAAAGGGTTTTTCTCCTGTGTGAGTTCTCTGATGGGCAACAAGTTTATAACTCTGGCTAAAGGACTTTCCACATTGGTTGCATTCATAGGGTTTTTCTCCAGTATGAATTCTTTGATGTGCAATAAGTTTATAGCTCTGGATAAATGATTTCCCACATTGATTACACTCATAGGGCTTCTCTCCAGTGTGAGTTCTTTGATGTGCAATAAGCTTGTAACTCTGCCTGAACGACTTCCCACACTGATTACATTCGTAAGGCTTCTCTCCAGTATGAGTTCTCTGATGCACAACAAGGACATAGCTCTGGCTAAAGGATTTTCCACACTGATTACATCTATAAGGTTTCTCTCCAGTATGAGTTCTCTGATGGGAAACGAGGTGAGAGCTCCGGCTGAAGGATTTCCCACATTCGTTACATTCATAAGGTTTCTCCCCTGTATGAGTTCTCTGATGTGCAACAAGATGAGAGCTCCAGCTGAAGGATTTCCCACATTGGTTACATTCAAAGGGTTTCTCTTCAGAATGATTTCTCATGTTTGGAGCAAGGGATGAATTCTTGGAGATTTTACTACATTTATATCGACTCTCTTCAACAGGAATTTTCTGTTGTTTATTATGGGATATGCTATGGTTCAAAACTTGCCCACATTCCTTAACATCAAAGGGTTTTCCCCTTGCAAGTTTATGTACATTTAGTGGTGTATCATGGCTAAAAGGCTGAATATTGTTGCTAAATCCATAGGATTTATCTTCTGTTTGCGTTCTTGTAAACTGAATAAGGTGATTATTCTGTTTTTTACCCCCATATTCATTATTTTCACATAGTTTCTCATGGTCATTAATCATCTGATGACTGTTCACCACAGAATGATGTAATTTTTTAACATGTGAAGCATGTTTATGAAATTTATTTCTTATGGGTATCATCTGGGGTGAAAGAACACTAGAATTCAGACCACTCTTCTCCTCATGTTCATCACTTTTGCAAACTCTTTCATGAGTAAGATCATTCTTTTGAGTGAATGCCATTTTCTTCAAAAGTCTTTCTTGTTTTTCCTGATGCTTCTCCAACTGGTTCTTACAAACCCAAACTTCTCCTGAAGATAACCAAGAATCGTCTCTTGTCAACCTTTCTAACTTCACTCCATGGGATGGTTCATCATCAACAATTCTCTGCTTTGATGTTGTTTCTCTTCCTCCAAGTGCAGTTGCAGAGTCTGGAAGAAAGCAAAATAAAACATCCTAGCCAAAAAATGTTAAGAGCTGGGATAGTGGAATAAAGCTGAAAAAACATCCAAAATACATGTAGTTTTGTTTTCAGCGATTATAACCTGGATTGAGAAGCAAAAGGGTGGGATGAAGAAGTAAGCAGAAAACTACCACAGCCCAATAGTATTACATGGCATTAAAATGGAACAATTTACTATTAGTTTTACCGAATATATAAGACTTTAGATACCAAATCTAAATCTCCATATTCCATAATAAGGTCACCTATACAGACTCAAAGGATCTCAAAACAATTTTGCAATTCTGAGCAAAGTAATAAAGGGTCCTTTCCACCCTCTTTAGTGCTAAACACATGTTCACTGAAATAGAAATTAATGTCTACATTTCAAGGAATTTCTGAAGGCATGAAATTTGCCAGCATTGCCTGTGTCAGTAAGACACAAGCAAACTACAACTGTGAATCAGGAATAAGAATGGAGACACTGTTATCTCAGAGTTCCCTAAATGACTTAGGGACTAATATAGCCCCGTGTATTCCTGTGATTTCTAGTGACAGAGAATGGAGGTAAGTTCATAGGCAGAAGCATGGGTGGCTAAGTCAAGCATCAGAGAGTACCTGAAAAAGTGGTGATATATACAGTCCACTAGGAGGTAGAAAATGAAGAAAAATGTGGTATGCCCTATGGAAATTTTTCAATTAAACCTTCTATACCTATAATGACTCCTTTGTGTCTGTTTCTCACCAGGATATATGTGTTGGGAAATTCTTTTTTATACTCATCCCCTTGTTCCAACTAGAAAATGGTGTCTGGTTTGAAATGCTGGTAGGACTTGAAGTGTCTGGGCTACAGACAAAAGAAATTTACTGCTGAATTTGGTCCCAGACTTTGATATTTGGGAACCATGAAGATTAAACAAGCTCAAACCCAAGAAGCTATACCTTCTTTATCCTACAAATTAAAATTAAATCTTCATTGGCGAATAAAAAAAACAAACAAAATCCATGTATGACCAAAGTAAATTTTATCTCTGAACTCCACAACTCTTAATCAACAGAAACAAGAAATACTTTCAATATACAGAGTTCATTAAAAAGGACTATATCCTTACCCCAATAGACCAAGTCCCGGTGGTTCTCAAGGATCACATCTCTGTCCAAGGTCCTCTGAGCAGGGTTCAAAATACCTTCTTCCTGAGTGAAGTCCACAGTCACAATTTTGAAGTTCACTCCTTCCTAAAACAGGACACACATTCCTGCTCAGCAGGGCATCACTTCCTTCTACTGTTCATAGAAGAAGAAAAGTTTGACAGATGGAAGAAACAAAACTTGATGATCTAGAAGTTGTACTGAGATAGTCAGTGTTCAAAGGATTCTAGTCAAGGTGTACATGTGTCTTTTAGGTGAGCCCCTTCAGGTTCTGAATGCTGGATTCATTTAACAACCCCAGAGAGGAATACCAGATAAGAACTAATATAAATTGTCTCTCTTGACCACCATAAAGAAAATGCTTACTCTGATTTTTGTACTAATATATAGAATACCACATAGAAATTCCTTCCAAATTTCCAGGAAATTAACAGAATGAGGATCAGTAAACTTTTTCTATCAAAGGCCAAAGAGTAAATATTTCAGGCTTTGAAAACTATACAATCTGTCACAATTACTCAGCTGTAGCAAGAGAGCAGCCACAGAAAATACATAAACATATGGGTGTGGCTTTATTACAATAAAATTTTATTTACAGCCCAGCTGGTGTGGCTCAGTGGATTGAGCATTGTCCCATGGACTGAGAGGTCACGGTTTGATTCCCAGTCACGGCACATGCCCGGGTTTCAGGCTCTATCTCCAGTAGGGGACATGCAGGAGGCAGCCAATTGATGCTTCCCTCTCACATCGATGTTTCTATCTCCCTCTCCCAAAAATCGATAAAAACATATTTTAAAAGAATGAAGAAAAAAATTGTATTTACACAAATAGGTGGTAGGCCATATTTGGCTCTCAGTCTCTACTTTGCTGATGCCTGAAGTAGAAGATAAAACGGGGGCTTTAATGAAGTAGAGGTTAAGAGTACTGAATTTGAAAGAAAAGAGACTTGGGTTTTCTCACCTATAAATATATCAGAACAACAACAACAAAAAAATCTAATCTGCCCTGGCTGGTTTGGCTCAGCAGTTAGAGCATTGGCCTGCAGACCAATGAGTTGCAGGTTCGATTCTGGTCAAGGGCATGTACCTCAGTTATAGTTCGTCTCCAGCCCTGGTCGGGTCGCGTGTGGAAGGTGACCAGTCAATGTGGCTCTACACATAAATGTTTCTCTCTGTCTCTCTCTCTCTCTCCCCCTCCCTGCCCCTCTAGCTAATAAATGGAAAAATATCTTCAGGTGAGGAATTAAAAAAAAAAAAAAAAAGAATCTGACAATCTGTATTTTAATGGAGTTTATTCTATTTCTTCTTATTAGGCTTAATCATACTCAATTCATTGGGTTGTTGAGTCAATCAATTGTGATAATATATATAAAGCCACCAACAGAATTTACTGAACAAAATATAAAGGCTGGCAATTATCATGTCTGAAAATCCTGAGAAATTAAGTGACAGCCAATGGGATCGTTATAGTGAACCTTTAGTCTTCAGAAGACAGTTCTATTTTGTCCACACAGACCTGCACTGCAAAGCCTTTAGGAGATGTTCAGTCATTACTGCCATATAAAAAGGACTGCCTCCTGAGCAGGAAAGGATCTATTTCTAAAACTACTGGGTGGGAATTTGGATCCAAATAAGAAGTGCTGAGTGATCTGTCCTTACCCAAAGGCAGCAAAAGCTGGGGAAGTCAAATGCCACTTTCCACTAAAGGCTATTTATTTATTTATTTATTTAATTTTATTTTTTTTATCCTCACCTGAGGACATTTTTCCATTTTTTGTTCAGATGGAGGGAGAGAGAGGAAGAGAGAGAGAGAAAAACATTGACGTGAAAGGGACACATCGAGTGGTTGCCACCCGCATGACCCATCCAGGGCCAGGGACAAACTGCAACCGAGGTACATGCCCTTAGCGGGAACCGAACCCGGGTCTCTCAGGACCGCAGGTGGACACTCTAACCGCTGAGCCAAACTGGCCAGGCGTCCACTAAAGGTTATTAAAAAAGACAAGGTGTTATTAAGCGGTAATTCATGAATAGGATACAGGGTCTGCAAATCCCATAAAACTCCATGCAAAATGCTGATGTACTGCATTGTTCTAAGTTGGGGCCATAAATTTCACCAAAATCTCATAGGTTTTCATGATTAGCTCAAAATGGGATTGAGACATGTGATTTAAAACTGCAACCTTGCCCAGCCCACGTGGCTTAGTGGATTGAGCGTCATCCCATGTACTCAAAGGTCCCGGTCAGGGCACATGCCTGGGTTGTGGGCTCAATCCCCAGTAAGGAGCGTGCAGGGAGCAGCCGACTGATGTATCTCTCTCATATTGATATTTCTATCTCTCCCTTCCTCTCTCTCTAAAAAAATCAACAAAAACACATTAAAAACCCCCCACAAAACTAACCTCTGTTGAATATGGATCTGCAGTACTGTTTTCCAACCTCTAATCCATGCTTCCTTTTAATAAAACAGGGGTGGGTAAAAGTAGGTTTACAGTTGTTCATATGGAAAAAAACTGCAGGTTATGATTATAATAATATAAGAACAAACTGTGTTTTATATACTCACAATTGTAAACCTACTTTGCCCACCCCTGTACTCCTCTTTGCTATTTAATGTAGGTACCTTTAATATCAAACTTGGTCAAATGTCAAATAATACTAGACTGGATTAGCACCTCCCACTCCATCCCAGTTACATGTTCTTAAAGTTCCACACGTTCTTATAATCTGCATAATGGTTATCTTTGTCACTAGGCTACAGTCCACAGCAGCAAGTATGAGGTATTTATAGTTTGCAACTATAATTCTAGTGCTTGGCATAGTGTTAGTGTATAGTAAATACTAAATATATATTTGGTAAATTATGTCAACACATGAATCAACAGAATTAATAGACTTTATAACATATCAAAATAACCCTGGTCCAAATTCTGATTTAGATCTTCTCTTCTCACCTGAAACTCACAGGGCCTGTCACATATTCATTTGTAAAAGTCCTTCAATACATGGACTTGCTTTTCTGAACTTCTATCCCCACTTATTCTATTATTCCTCTCACCTGGACCCAACTCTCTACTCCTCCAATTCCTTCCTGAACCCTTCAACTATGCCCTTGGGAACTCATCTATAATAATGAAATCCTACAGCTTCAACTTCACCAAATATTCCCTCTACATCCCTGCATTAATGGAAACCTACCCTCCCACTGTGGACTCCTTCCTCTGCATACTCGCAGGCTTAGGTTGGTCATGCTCCCCCATCCTGGGGTCTCAGAATCAAAGGGGGAGATGTGAGTCCTTCCAGTTACACTGAAACCCTTATTATTTAGCTCACTTCTTAGAGCTTTGTCCTACCAACCTCTTGAACCACCACCCCTTTCCCTGAATACCAAGGATTCATCCTCCATTTCAAGAACTCGAATTGCTCATCTTCCATTGTCTATAGCAGAGATTTTCACTCTTTTTCATCTCATGGCACATATAAACTAATTACTAAAATTCTGTGGCACTCAAAAAAATACATTTTTGCTGATCAGACAAAAAAAGTTATAATTTTGATTAAAAAACAATAATAGTAATAGTAAGTACCTACTCTTTTTTGCTCCAAAGTGCTTACACTTGTATATAAGAATTTCTGGTACCAAGAATTAACTATCATATGGCCTATATATTTATGGTTTAGGACAGAGCATTCACAGTGGAAGGCTATTGTTGTGTTGACTGTTGTCATTTTTTATTTGACAATCCAAGGGAAAAGAGGTCAGTACCCCTGGCTAAATAGTCAGGGATTGCATGTTTTAAAAATTCAAGTGGCACACTGGTTGAAAATCACTGGCCTATAGCACCCACTTGTAGAGTTCTCTGATAAGACTATTTAATGAAGCACTTACTGTGTGGTGTCAGGCAGTGTGCTCTTCATGTCACAAATTATCATTCACTTAATTCTCACAAAGTTCCTATGAGAAAATTCTATTAGCAGCACCATTTTCAGACGAAGAACTAGAGAAATTAACACACATGCCTAAGGTTGAGAGCTGGACTACAACCTCAAGGTCACCTGACATCAGAGGCTGTGTTCTCAGTCATCAATTCACATGTTAAGTCTTAGGGTAAGACCCAGACTTAACATAAAGTACTCCATCTCTCAAATGACACACAAAGAACTGCCCACTCTTTGATTATATCAGATTATTACTTTTTATTACAATGTCAGATTAAAAAGTTTTTTTAAAATTACAGTTTATATTTGATATTATTCTATATTGGTTTCAGGTGTACAGTATAGTGGTTAGACAATCATATCCTTCTCAAAATGGTTAGACAATCATATACGTACTTCACAAAGTGGTCCCCCCAATATTCCCAGTACTCACCTGGCACTTGAAATATATAGTTGTTACATTGTTATTGACTTTATATCCCAGTGACTATTTTGTAACTACCAATCAGTACTTCTCAGTCCCTTTGCCTTTTCTGCCCAGTCCCCCCACCCCCTCCACTGGCAGGCCTCTCCACTTGACTTGCACAGTTGCTCCCTTTACCTTTCTCGTCCTTGGATGGTTTGGGTCCATTACTCTATTGAAATATCTGCTATTACTATCTACCAGTCTATATTCTTCTCCTTTCTAGTTAGTGTCCATTTTATCTTTTCCATCTTAATTATTCAGTTTAGAGTCCAGGGATCATTCATTTTAATCCTATTAAATATACTAAGAAATGCTCTTTCAAATATTACCTTGACCTATGGGGCTTCCACTGAATGCACATGGCTCCAAAAACTAAACAAATCTGAATGTCAATCTGCCATCTATAGAAAGTAGATTACAGAATGCCCCTCCTTAGTGGAATAGAGTATTATCAATTAATGGTCACTATCTTGGAATGATCCTTTCAGATGCACCAGCAACACTGATATGCCTCCTGGGACAGCTGGTTCTCCCATAATCCAAAATTAGTATTTTAAGACTTTTCCACACTTGTCGAACATCTCTCCACTCCAATGCCTACCCTCATGCCCAGCAGATAACGCCATCTGCTTGTTTGCAGAGACAAATCCAAGCTTTCACATAACTCCCTCAATCTCATTTGTCCTATACGAGTCCTTCTTCCTCTGTTGAGCCAATTTATTCTCATATGCTCTAAATTAATTCCTCTGGCACTAATCAAGGACTCTGCTTTATAGTTTTCTTTCTCTTCTCTTCTGATCATTAACTTCTTTTTTTCCACGAACCCCCTTCCTGCAACCACATAGGAGTCAAATCTTTTCAAATCTTTCAGGGGGGATGGGGAGGAAGCCCTTCAACTTCAAATTTCCTGACAGCTATCACTCTGTTCAATCTTTCACATGATCACCAAATTTCTGTAAAAGGTGTCCCACTCTTACCTCCATTTCTATCACTTTCTACTCACTTCCCAGTTCACTTCAACCTGGCTTCTGCCACCAACCAGCCACACACATTTCTCAATGTAAAGAGGCCTTGTGTCCAACATACCTGGGATGGGATGGTCAGTAACCCAGAATCTTCTCTCTCGACCTTGATGATAATTTTTTGAGAAAGGAGAGAGTCCTAAGGAGGTAAAACAGATAAGAGAAAAGGAAAATAAAGGGAGGTAAGTCAGAGGCAAAACTCTCATTGTGAGTAGGCTAGGATTTGACATACCACCTGTTTTAATGTATCCCACCCACCAAACTTCTGCTCCCTCCCATTGGTAAGCGCAAGTGAGCCATGTAGAGAGAAAGAAGGGACATCTGGAGGGGCAGTGAAACATCAGACATGGGCACAAGGTCTTTGTGGATCTTCCAGGTCAGTCTAACTGTCAGTCTAGTGAGCGACCTCAGACACTGTGTAGAAAAGAACTGTCCAGCTGGGCCCTGCCTGAATTCTTGGATCTCAGAATTGTAAGCAAGTAAGACAGATATAGCATCACCAAAGAATGATCGGGGGAGAGGGGGAAATCAATAAATTAACTTCATAAAAAGTTTGGCAAAAACCACCACCAATAAAGACACCAGCAGTAAAAATCTACTGTTAAGACTTTTTCCAAATCAGTAAGAAAAAGGTAGCCTCAAAAGAAAAATGGACAAAAAAAATGCTATGTAGCTCAACTATGAAGAAATAAAATGGCCAGTGAATATCCAAAAAGATGCTCAACTCTTTACATCAGATAAAACTAAATCTCTATTTCTATAATTATCTCTCTATAAATTCACACTGGTACCTCCAATTACAATTCAACACATTTTATTCCAGCCTTCCTGTTGTCCATATTTGCATCTTCCTTCTCCTGCTCCCATTATTCACTTTATATTTACTGATTTGCTCAAAGCCCCTGTATAAATCCCAACCATGTGGAGTGTTTCTTCCACCTGTTGCTAACAACTCTTCCCATGGTGGCCCACTGGTCAAGAGCTTCTTATACTCTTAGTGGAAGTTTAAGTTGATACAACCTTTCTGGACTGGCAATATATATATTTTGTTAATCCTCACCCAAGAATATTTTTCCATTGATTTCTTAGAGTGTAAGGAAAGAAGAAAGAAGCATCGATCATTACACACCCTGACCAGGGATCAAACTGTAACCAGGTATGTGTCCTGACTGGGAATCAAACCCATAATCTTTTTGGTGTACAGGATGATGCTCCAGACAACTCAGCCACTGGGCCAGGACCAGACTGGCAGTGTGTGTGTGTATGTGTGTGTGTATGTATATATATATACACGTATGTATATATTGATTGAATTTAGAGGGAGAGGGAGAGGGAGAAACATTGATGTGAAAGAGAAACATTGATTGGTTGCCTCCTGTATACGCTCCGACTGGGGATCAAACCTGAAACCTGGGTATGTGGTCTGACCAGGAATCTAACCAGAGATCTTTCTGACCTTTCGGTGCATGGGACAATGCTCAACCAATTGAGCCACACTGGCCAGGGCAGCAATATATTTTTTTAAATAACATTTCATTTGGAAATAGTTTAAGACGTACAGTAAGTTGCAAAAATAGAACAGAATTTCTCTGTACCCTTCACCCAGCTTCCCCAAATGCTAGTAGCGGACACAACCACTTCACTGTCAAAACTAAGAAATTGGCCCTGGCTGGTTTGGCTCAGCACTTAGAGCATTGGCCTGTGGACCAAAGGGTGTCGGGTTGATTCTGGTCAAGGGCATATACTTGGGTTGCAGGTTCAGTCCCTGGCTCTGGTCGGGGTTGTGCAGGAGGCAGTTGATGTGTCTCTCACATTGATGTTTCTCTCTCTCTCTAAAAAGCAATAAAAACATATCCTCAGATGAGGATTTTTTAAAAAAAGTTTTCACAGGGAAAATAAAAGAGAGATGAGTTCTGCTCGGTGAACTCTGCATCAAATATCCTTCCTTGCCCCCACCCAAAAAGTCCATTCTGCTCCTTGATCTGCTTTTGTTTCTTTTTAATTTTTTTCTTCATTGAGAGAGGTTTAGAGAGAGAGAAAGGGAGAGGGAGGGAGAGATAGAAACATTGATGAGAACATAGATTGGCCGCTTCCTGCATGCTCCCCACCGGGAATCTGGCCCACAACCTGGGCATGTGTCCTGACCAGGAATCAAACCGGCAACCTTTTGGTGCATGAGTCGATGCTCAACCACTGAACCACACCGGCCGGAATGCTTTTGTTTCTTTATACTTTTTTTTTTTTATTCCACTTCCACGAGAGTGGGCTCAGTAAAAGCTGAGCTCTCTTGTTCACCATGGTTTCACTGGGCTTAAAGTAGGTACTTCATAAATGGGTGCTGGCAGTAACATAACCACTGAGAAAGGTTCCAGAAGTCAGTTCAAATCACACTGAGCTTAAGTCCTTCCTCTGGTTAGAAGAAAACTTTTTGGGAGCTTTTCCTTCTCAGAAAATTCAAAGCATCATCCTCCAGAATATACTCTCAACTTTTTCAAACTAAATACTTAAAAACCATCTTGTCACTAAAGTGTGTAAAAACACACACATCTAGCCCTGGCCAGTTTGGCTCAGCGGTTAGAGCATCAGCCTGCGGTCCGGAGAGACCCGGGTTCGGTTCCCGCTAAGGGCATGTACCTCGGTTGCAGTTTGTCCCCGGCCCTGGTTGGTTGTGCGGGTGGCAGCCACTCAATGTGTCCCTTTCACGTCGATGTTTCTCTCTCTCTCTCTCTCTCCCTCCCACTCTATCTGTACAAAAATTGGAAAAATGTCCTCGGGTGAGGATAAAAACAAAAAACAAAAAAACACACACATCTACAATCTTTCTAGCCACTTTGGATTACCGAGTGCTTTAGGAATATCTCCTGTATTTACATCTTATTTATATCTTAGCTCCTACCATCTATCTTTTGCCTATTATGTGGTGTTTTTTTTTTAATCTTTTTTTATCCTCACCCGAGGACATTTTTGCATTTATCTTCAGATAGAGCAGAAGGGGAGAGGAAGAGAGAGAGAGAGAGAAACATTGACGTGAGAGAAACATCGACATGAGAGACACATCGACTGGTTGCCACCCACACGACCCCAACAGGGGCCTGGGACAAACTGCAACCAAGGTACATGCCCTTAGCAGGAACCGAACCTGGGAATCTCTGGTCCGCGGGCTGACGCTCTATCCACTGAGCAAAACCAGCCAGGGCTTGCCTATTATGTTTAACAACACACGTAGTACTTTAGCATAGAATATCTCACACAATTATTTAATTTTTTTGAAGGAGTGAGGTCTATTTCACCAGCACAGAAGTTAATGGTAATATAGTTTAGTAAACTCACCGTGGAGTTCACCAGGGATGGTATACACACTGATTGCCTGATCCCCACTCCTTCCCTTCCTACTGCCCCACAGTTCAAAGTCTGATCATTCAAGCCCCTCATAAAATGTTACTTCTTCCATGAAGCAGTCCCAGGTAGCACAAAGTCTCATCTCTTCTTTCCTTAAGATTTCTTGGCTGTTTTTACTGAACCCTTACTATTCCAGTAAAATCATTCTCGTCTTATTACTTCTATCTATATACCTCTTCCCTGGCTTATGACTTCTATACTATAAAAAGCCGTGTATTTTTAAACTTTGTACTCTCCTCAATATTGAGTTATCTGAATTTTACAGGACTAGAGAAATGTGCAGGTTGGGATATATGAACGAAATTAAAAGTCTTTACCCCCACTTCTGTGTCCTCTGGACCATTTTCCCCCCACTATTTTATTTTGCAACTTTGGAGGTATATTTGACAAATAGAAAGTGCATATATGTAAGGCATACAACATGCCATTTTGATTATACATATACACTGTTAAATAAGTACCACAATCAAGCTAACGCATCCATCACTTCACACAGTTACCATTAGTTTGTATGGTAAGAACTCTTAAGATCAACTCTCTTAGCAAACTTCAAGTTCACAGTATAGTCACCACGTTGTACATTAGGCCTCCAGAACTTACTCATCCCACCTAACTGAACCTCTGCACCCTGAGACCAACATTTCCCCATGTTCCCCCACCCTCCAGCCCTGGCAGCCACCACTCCACTCTGTTTTCATGAGTTCAACTGCTTTAGATTCCACATATAAGCAAGCTCATGCAGTATCTGTCTCTCCGTGTCTGGCTTACTTCACTAAGCATCTGTCCTGGGGCATTTTAAAATCATTCCTTTTGTTCAGCGGTCACTTCTCCACATAATGAAGGAACAGTCCCTTTTTCTTTGCATACTTGACAGAATGGGAACAGGAATCAGACTGTTGACTTCCACACAGAGAAGAGTAATAGGCGGAAGATAACTGTTCTCTCGGTGACATTGGTGGAACTGTGACCCAGAGCAGAGGAACAGAGACAAGCAGAGGTGTCATGGAGTGACCTGCCCACTTCACATGAGCCTGTCGTCAAATCGGACCTCGGATCCTGCTATTTCCTCACCTGTAAACAAAGTTGACCAAATACACCATTCCCACCGTGGGCGTAGGAGGTAGGATTCTTGGGGTAAAACAAAACTTACAGTCAAATCACAGAATTAGCACTGAACTCAGTTCCCGAAGCTTTGCATTTGGGGTTTGCCAGCTGGAAACCCTCTGTCTGTGAGGGGTTCAGAATATGAACTCTAATAGGCATCATAGCAGGAGATTTCCCCTCTTTGTGTGTTTATTTCTCTTCTTGCCCATGGGGGACGAAGGGCAGAGCTCACATTTCAGCTCAAGGGATGTGATATATGGGGCCCTGGAGTAAAACCAACTCTTGCTCAAATTAGAAAGCGGAAGATTCCCTGCCTATTTTCTCAGAGATCCTTCTGACCAGAAGGTCTGGCTAGTTCTGACACATGAGAAAATTCTCTCTCTATCCCACAACATCATCATGAATAATTCTCATTTACTTTAAATATACTGAAGAGACTCTCCACCATGGAGTCACCAATTCATCAACAACCTGCCTGTCTCTGAATGTTGAGAATGACAGGGGACAGGTGAGCCTGTACCACCCACCTTGGTAGGATTTTTGGTGTCAGCCCCTGAAGGCAGGCAGGGCTCAGAGCCACCTCAAGGCCTTCCCCAGGGGGCCCAGCTACTTCCAGGTGTGTGAATCACTGAAATATCTCAGGCGATGTCCCAATATGGTATCTTCCTAGGTCAGTTCACTAGACTTATGTCCCTGATTCAAAGCCAAGACCTGGGCTCCCTTGATTTCTCTCCCTGCCATGGCTCTATTCAATATCCATCAGGCCCAAACAAAGTACCTGTCCATGTTCTGATAATGATTAAAATTAACTAGAGGACATTCAGATTTGAGAAGTATGGTAGCCAGCTTCCCAGATGGCCCCCCAACAATCCCACCTCCTGGCAGGCAGAACCTTATGTAGTCCTTGCCCACATGGTACCAGAGTGGATCCGTGTGACCAATAGATTGCAGAGGAGGTGATGGTGTGCCACTTCTCAGATCAGATGATAAGAGACACTGTGGCTTCCATCTTGGTTGTGTCCATTTAAGCTCTCACTCTCTCTCTCTCACTTTCCCAGATCATTTGCACTGGAAGAAACCGGCCACTGTCTTGTGCACTGCTGGGGAGAGGTCTACGTGGTGGGGAACTGAGGCCTCTCACCAACAGCCACATAAGTGACCTTGCTACTACTCAGTCAAGCCTTCTGAAGGCAGCAGCCCCAGCCAACAACACTGCACCCTCACCAGAGACCAAGCACCAGAAACATCCAGAGAAGCTGCTCCCAGATTCCTGACCCTCAGAAAATGTGTGAGTTAATAAAGTTTTGTTGGTTTGAGCTGCTAAATTCCAGAGTAGGCAACCACAGGTAACTAATACAAGAAAAAAAGATGTTTTTGCTTTTCCTATGTAACCTTGGAATATACAAGCACAATTCTATGAGAACTAAGTCAACTTTCTCCCCAGTGCCTCACATAGGGCCTTACCCTGGTTAGACAATCAATCAATATGTAAGGAAAGTAAAAATGATAATGAACAGATTGCTAATTCAGTTGTATGACATATGACACAGAAGAAGGACCATTAAGATTCCCAGGGCCCTGGCCAGTGTGGCTCAGTTGGTTGGAGCAACATCCCATATACCAAAAGGTTGTGGGTTCAATGCCCAGTTGGGGTGCATAAGCGAGGCAACCAATCGATTTCTCTCTCTCTCTCTGTCCCTCTCTCTCCCCTCCCCACTCTCTAACATCAATAAGCATATCCTTGGGTGAGGATTAAAAAAATATATACTCCCGGAAAACACACGAAGTCACTATCTTATAGAATGCCAATGGTCACATCAAAATGCATTGTACCTATAGTTTTGACAAAGATGTGAATGTAAATTTATATTTGCATAACTCTCTTGCACACTACTGTGCATGTGTACAAGGAAGCATATACAAAAATATTTACAGCAGTGCTATTTGTAATAGCAAAAAACTGAACACTAAATAGTTATTAACAGTAGTCTATAAAATCCACGGCATTCATTTAGAAGTTAAAATCTGGGCACCAGGTGTATCTGGGCACAGTGGTATCAGAATGTTACTGCTCCCAGGCACTCAGAGTGGACAGAGATAGGGAATATAGGTGTGCGTGTCTGTACACACACATCTCTATGTATTTCTACATTGACATAGTGAAAATCATGAGCCACATCAATACCTTCAATGTTCACTGAACACCACAGTTCATTATAGTGTTCTCTTTTTCCAGGGTAAGAACCATGGCTAGATGCTCCTCAGCCGACCTGGGCTCTGCAGCCCCTCAGGAAGCCACCCTCTGCCAAGAGGCCCTCTGTACCCTGCTTGGGCTCTGACTCTGCAGGCCAGTGGTTTCTTCTCATGTTCCTTAAACTTGGACTCTGTGGGAAAGCCCCCAACATCCTTCTTGGGCTCTGATCCTCCATGCCAGGTTACCCTCATGCACAGATGCCCTCACCCTGTTCAGGCTGTGACACGCTATACCAAATGTGCATCCCCCCACTCCCAACATTGTGCACATGTCACCCTGCTCTGGCTCTGATACCCCATGCTGGGCACCCTCACTGCATTTGGGCTCCCCTCTGTGGATGCCCTTCTTACTTGCTCTGGCCCCGTCACCCCGAAACAGATTCCTTCTTCCATTTGGACACTTACCTCACCTACTTGGGCTTTGACTCCTGACACCACCTTCCTCGCCCCGTTTGGCCACTTAGGCCCCACACAGAGATGCTCTCTTCACCCTGATCAGGCTGTGATACCCTACAACCAGGAGCCCTCCCTCAAAATTGCAGAGGGCTGCCTAGCTCTGCCCCACATGGCTTTGGAACTGCACTGTCCAGGAAGGTGAAGGCGAAATCCTAATTTAACATTTTTAAAAAATTAAACATTTTCAAATAATATTTGCTGTACCAAAATGCTTTAAACGGTTAATTTCTTAACCTTAACATGTGCTGTACAAAACTACAAAAGTGTAGATACAAGCCCAGCCAGTGTGGTTCAGTGGCTGAGCATTAACCCATGCACCAAGAGGTCACTGGTTTGATTCATGATCAGGGTACAAGCCCAGGTTGTGGGCCAAATCCCCAGTAGGGGGCAGGCAGGGGGTGACCAATCGATGTTCTCTCTCATTGATGTTTCTATCTCTCTCCCTCTCCCTTCCTCTCTCTCTAAAATCAATAGAGAGAAAAAAATGAAAACATAAAGTGTCCTAGAATGTAACGTACAGATCTTTGTTAACTGGTATATATACTGTCTTCTAACATAGTTTTTATATACACACAAACTACATCCCTTTTTAAAAAGGTGGTCTTTTCTAAATGCTATTGACTTAACATAGATCATACATAAATATCTTTTTATGCTGGTAAATATGCATTATACATCAACGACTACAGTGTATTCCATTTCATGGTCTTACCATAACTCATCGAACTTTCCTCTTGCATTGCATATTCTCAAACATTCTTTCCAAGTGCTCATTCTCAAGCAAAGCCATGAGTTGTTGGCCAAAGGGCAATCCGTATTCTAAGGGCTTTTGATACAGCATGCCAAATTCCTCCCAGAAAGAATTATCTGGGTTAAAAGGGTGAAAAAATGCAGGGAGCCTCATTAAATGCATAGTATGCAAGTGTTAGAAGTCTGCATGTCAGAAGGGACCAAAAGCCCCCAACACACTGCAGAGAGCAGATAGCTCCCAAGCCTAGAGGGTCTGGCTATGGGGCCTGGGTCAGAGCAAGCTCTGGGTCTCCTGGAGAAGGGAAGCTCACTCACCTGCATATAGGCCTTCAGGGGCCCTGAGGGCTTCTCCTCCTGCTCTTCCATGCTTTCCTCCCAGCACGCCTGAGGTCCTGAGCTGCAAGGGGACAAGCCCTGAGTACAGCGCCCTCCTGCAGGTCCACCTTGGGACCCCCATCCCTGAAATAGTCTTTGCTTCTGGATGTACTCCTAATGAGAAGGGTGCTTCTAGAGGTTCCTGCCCAGATTCCAGAACAAATAGCTGCGCATGCACCTAGAATTCCTTCCTTGGTTCCTCTCCCAGGTCAAGACTCTGAAACTCCAAACTGGTTCCTCCACTATCTTAGGCCTCTGGATCACGTACCAGTAAGCCCACCTCATGCTCAAACACAGCTTTGGCCTACCACCAACATCTGTAGCACAAATCAGTCCCTCCCTTCTCTTCTGGGTCCTGAAATTCCCACAAACACCTACAACATCAAGGACCCCCTAGTGTGAACCCCTTTCTCCCCAACCTGAAATCTGTAGGTCCAAACCAGCACCTTTTCCTAGGGCAAGCAGAGGGGCTCTGGAATGGATGGTCCTAAATCACACTCCCTGACTACATGCAGGAAGCTCGTGACACAGCCCCACCTCTCCTGGGATCCTAGCCTCCCATTAACCAGGCTTGACCCTCCAGCAATCTGTCACAGATTGCTTCACACTTCCTGCTCAAATAGCCAAGCCTATGCACAGAGCTGAACTGCACCCCAGACCTGGTCCTTCCACCAATCTGGGGTCAGTCAGCCTATACCAGTGCTAGCCCAGGTTCCCACCCCAAAGCCCTCCTGGGCCCTGAATTTGTAGCTCTGTCCTGGTCCCTTCACCAACTTGAGTGTCCTCAGGTCTAAACTGGCAACAGAGCCAGCATGGCACTGGTAACCTCCTGAAAGACCCCAGCATGTGTCAGCCCCTCCCAGGCCCAGAATGTATACTTCAGTTGTCTTTGTACCAACTATGTATTTCTGGGCTGAACAGCCCCTGACAAATCCCACCCTATACATCCCACTCCCACCCCGTCTCCTCTAGTGGATTCTCATTTAAACAGCATAGTGTGGGTGATAGTGAAACTGTACCCTGAACCTGTACCCAATCTATCTCCTCCACCAACCTCTACAGGCCCCTACTTGAGCTGCATCTGCCTAGATTCCTGCTCAAACATCTCCCTGGTCACCTGCAGCTCAGAAAGATCTTGTCTTTTTATCAACCTGAGCATCATCAGAGTGTGAATGGGGTGCCATCTGCACAAAGACTCCAGCACCCTTTGTCTAACACCCATGACCAGCCTCTGTTTCTCACCCAAACACCTGTGAGTGTGCAGAGAGATGTGGTACAGCCCTACCCCTTGCAGCTGTTCCCTCTACCCATCTGAGCATCCTCAGGCAATACCTGGATCCTAGGACTGTCCATCCTCCCTATTCTGTCTAAATGCCAGCACATGTGCAGAGTGCAACTGGAGCAGCACCAAACTAGAACGTCTAGCTCCAAAATGAAGGACCCAAGTCTCTACTTCCAAGGGCCTGTCATGGCTCTCTTTGCAGGGGTCACTGCACAGAGGCCACCACCCAGATTCCCTCCTCTTGGTGGCATACACAGAGCAGGCTCATACTTAGAATCTGCATCCAGGACCTGGGCCCTCTCTCTGCCAGCCTGCAGGTCTTGTGCAGACCCTGTTCTTCAGATGAGAATCAGTATCTCCCATTCTGTGCCTCAACCTACCTGAGACACAAAAGTCACCTGCAAGTTTCCATGAGGGTTCTGGGGTCGCCTGCATCCACTGCCTGCTTGTCATTAAAACATAATAATACCTAAACAGTAGCTTGAGCACAGAGCTCCAGAAGCAGCCCAGGACTTGGACACTGGCCTGGCAGCTGTCAAACCCTTGAGGGACCAGCTCCTATGGGAACTGGGACCTTCCACTTCCTCCCACCCAAATGTGAACATCTCAGTGCCATGCTGAATACAGCCCCTTCCAGGTCCAAATCTGCAGCTCAGACTGTCCCTCTACCAACCTGGGCATTATCATGCTTGAAAGCAGAGTAGCCCTGATCAAAGGTCCCAGGAACACCTACTTCATATTCATGTTGGCAGCATCTTACTTCCTCCCCAAACAGCTACCCATTTGATGGCAGCTGCTGCTCTATCCTTCCTGGGCTCTGATTCTGTACCTCCAACCTAGCATTTCCACCAAACCTAAATGCCCCAAGGCTTTGCAAGATCCTACAAGGGTCCCAAGATTACCAGGCCAAATTCCCACCTCTCATTCAGAAGCCCTCCCCAACCCCAGCATGTGGAAGGAGCGCTCTGCCTGGAACCTGCTCTAAGCCCTGGTTCCTCCTTCGACCTGAGAGTCTGCAGTCCATCAGCCATTGCCAGTGAGGGTGCCCGGAAGAAACACTGCCTCTCTAGGGTCAAGAATCTCCAACTACCACCTGGTCTCTCCACTACCCATGTTGCTCCCAGCCCTGGGAGAAGAGTAGTGTCTGCTCCAGGGTCCCAGAGCCAACTGCCCAGAATTTCACCTCCCACCTCGTGCTTCCTACTCAAACACCTGCTCAGGGGTCTGGGGACTGACATAAGCCCTCACCTCCAGAAACCAGAATCTGCAAATGAGTGCTTCATCAACCCACTGGTCCTCAGGTTCTCCACTAAATAGGCCCAGCCTTGAGTGGGTGGGTTCTCAGAAATTCACCCACCCACACACACACACAAAAACCCGTGCTCATGGCTGGTCTTCCATCAACCTGGGCATCCTCAGAACAGAGACAAGAGCACCACCACCCGCGCACGCGCACAGAGCACAGTCCGGACTCTGTAGCTGCACCAGTACTTCCAACTTCGGTGGCCAGAGGCCGACCGCCACCTGCGCAGGTTCCGTATCGCCCACCCACACCCCCAATGCTAGCTTCCCGCCTAGACAATGCGCGTGCGCGCACGGGACACCCAGAGCGGCCCCAACCTTCACCAACCTGGGTGTCTACAGGCTCGCCTCCAAGGCCGGCCTGTCCCAGCCTCCGGCAGACCTCAGTGAAGCGACCCCGTATCCGGATAATGCACACGACAGACTCGGGTTACGCTAGTTCGGTTCCCTCCCCAATTCAGCATTAGCAGGGCCGTTCGGGTTAACCTCCGAAGGGCCGGGGTAAACGGCGACAGCAAGCGTCCGCGCAGGGGACAATGGCTGCGCTTCTAGCCGAACCCGGAAGCGCGTGTGGACCTCGCGACTCCGAACTACAATTCCCAGAAGCCTCGGCGGCGCGAGCCGTGTTTGGGCGGGGTTCCAGCGCCTCAGGGCAAGTGGCGCGGAGACGCAGCTGGACCTGAAGAGGCTTCGCGTTTAGGGTCCCGGCCGGCGGTGCGTCTGTGCGTGTCCTAGTTTGTGTGGGGCGCTGAGACGAGAAGCGGGGCTCTGAGGCCAAGGTCAAGGCGGCGATGCTGAGGAGTGGCTGACTTGGGAAAGGCTGGCCCTGGGCCTGGCTTGACGCCCAGGAGTGGCCGAGAAAACGGGATCCTGGAAACCGCCAGGACCCCTCCTGACCGCCTGCTTAGCGCGCACCACCTCCGTTGGTCCTCGTGGCCAAAGGTAGTTGCTACAAAACCATTATACAGTCCGAGGAACTCATATCAAGCCATTCAAGAATCTGATATGTTTTGTACCGCCTCCCCCCTTCTCTTTGCCTTCATCTGACTGTTTTTTTGGCTCAACTCCAGCCATGCAGGCCCTTCTACCTTCAACAACTCAAGCAGACACCGCAGGACCTTTGCATGTGCTGTTCATGCTGCCTGGCAGGCTCTTCCTTTGAGGATTCCCCCACCATCCAGCCTTTGAACTGATGTCACATTCTCATGAGGCATGCCCCCACCAACATTTGTAAACTTGCAAAAAAAAAAAAAAAAACCCACTTTCACTCCCCCACATAATCCCTGCCTCTCACCTCATCTTTATTTTTAGAGAACTTTTCACTATTGAACACGTTATATATTTTAGGGGTTTATGTGGTCTGTTGTCCATCTGCCCTCACCACTGGACTGTAAATTCCATAAGAGAGAGGATTTGTATCTATTTTGATTACTGCTGTATCCCCAGGTACCTGGCAGGTAATAGATGCTCAAAAAAATATTTGTTTTGTTTAGAATAAATAAATGTTCCTAAACACTTTAACAGCCAGAATCTCATTAACCAGCCCAAGCACGCTGAAAAAATGTGATATTTATTTCCACCCAACCAGGGAGGGAGTAGAAAATTGGAGTTCTGCTGTATGAAAATGTTTTTTAAAATATGGTATTTTTAAGTTTCTTTAAATGCTTCCAAAACACTCCTATGGTTTTCCTCACATAAACTACATCCCTCTGATTCCAAGAGGGGTTCAAGGCATTGTCATATTGAAGAAAAAGAGGACAAGAAGAGATGGAAAAGCCAGAGAGGGTAATGGGATCCCCAGAGAAGGCAAAGGAGGAAATGCAGAGATCCAAGCTGGCATTGATGCCCTCAAGAGAACATGCGTGACTCTCCCACCCCAAGAAATGGGACTGGAACAGCCCTTCTGGGCTAGGGAAGGGCCAGACAGTTGAGGGAGCAGGGTGGATCCCTCTGAAGCATCACCCACCTTTTTGACTCTGACCTGTCCTTGCAGTTCGGGTATATTAGCACACATAGACCTTGGCCAGTTTAAAGAAAGCAAATGCCAACCCAGGGCTGGAATTAAGAAGAGATAAGAGGAAGGGGCTCTTTTTCCAGGTCATTTCTATTCCCAGGAAAGAGGTGACAGAAACCTGCCTGTCTTTCTCCCCAGGACTCCTCATCACATCTCCAATGAGCTTGACCTGGGATGCCACAGAAAGCTATTTCTAGGTGAGATAAGACCATTTGATAAAACAGATAAGACCAGAAATCTAAGACCTAACCCCAGTTGCATAAGTGGGTTTCTGGTTGTGTGGGTTTGTCCTTTACCCTTCCTGGCCTTGGGTTTCCTCTCTGTAAAACTGAGTGGAATTGGACAGTCTCTAGAAGACTTCCATCTCATGAGGCCCATCCTTCCAGAATCCTAGGCCAGAGATGGCAAAGA